CCCTTCTAACCCACCTCTCCTCAACATGCCTACTTCTTAGCAGCAAAAAGCAGAGATGCCGTCAAGGGCCCCTAGAAACATTTCTCTTTGCTGTAGGTAACCTTGAAGGGGATAAGCACGTCAGTGTGAGCTGCCCTCCGTCAGCTTTGAAAACATCCAGCCGCAAAGCCTGGTAAACCGAGCTGTTAGAATGCCTTTCCCCTTACGTGGATGGGGACACGCACAGAGCCACTAAATTCCAGGCTGCCCTAACTTTCCGAAGTTGATAGCATTTGCTGTGAATTCATTAGGAAACAGCCGCATTTTTGTTTCCTGGATGTGCTGAGGCAAACCCCCACCCCCCTTCCCCAAGCAGAATTCGGGTTTCATGTGAAGGTAGAAAGTAAGGAGGCCTTTTTTATTACTAATGGCATCAAATTGCACGTATAAAACTATGATAACACATCAAGACTTTCCTAACATTGTAGAGCAGCTCCAATTACTGTTTTTAATTTGATGTGCTTTTTAAAAATGTTTGTTGTATGCACGGAACACCCCCTAGGTCACGGGTTGAGTGGTGGCCGTGGGTTGGTCGCAAATAGACAGGTGGGGTAGCCAGGCCTCAGGCCCCGTCGCTCTGCGCTGGCAGTCGACAGGGGGCGCGGCGGAGGCGGCCGTGCCAGGCGGAGCGGAGCGCAGAGCGCGCGCCATCTGGGTCGTTGAGGACGCGCCTGGAGAGGTGCTGGCTCTGGGTTCCACTCCAATACGTCTTCTTCCATTTTGCAGCTTCCCACTTCCCATCTGTGCCCACCCACTGGTTTCTCAAATAATAATAATAATAAAAAAAAAATTGGCAAACGGTTCAAGGAAAAAGAATCGGGAACACGTGGGCTCCTCCATCCTAGGTTCATACGGTGTGGGGCACACGTGGCCACCGTGGCCTAGCTGGCTTCCCGCACCCGTTCCCGAAGCTGTGATCCAGCTTGACCGACCCGGGCTGTGCATTTTGCTGCACGGTGGATATCGGGGTGCTAGTTGTACTTTGCCAGTTGCCAGGAAAACGTTTTCTTTTTCCTTTCATCTTTGCCAGTGCTGCCTGCAGACTCCAAAAGGCATCTTCAGAAAGCTGATAATTCAAGCTATGGAATCCGAGCATGAGTAATCATTACCTATTTTGCTTGGGTGCAGTCCTTTAGAGAAAATGATGTCCTTGCCAATAATAAACCTTGTCTTATTACTCGTCCAGGAGCCCCAATTTGAGGATAGATGTTAGGCCACCCTTTGTTGCTCAATTCTCTGATTCAAATAAATCTAGTATTCCAGAAAAAAAAGAAAAGAAAAGGAACAACCCCCAAACTCTAAGCAGCAGTTATTTCTGAATAGAGCACAACTATATGACTGTTTTAAGGATAGTTAAAAAAAAAAAAAAGAGTACTTAGTAAAATGGCAGTTTTATTCATTAATAAACACTCTGAAGCAGCCAGCAATTCAAATTCTCACAGCACATTTTGTGGAACGATGTCTATACTCTGCCATCTTGCTGGAATGCTCCTGTGTTGCTCAGAGCTTTTCATTGACTGACGGGTGAGTCTTTATTGTCTATAGATGGATTATTGCAAATTCAAGTTCCCCAAAGCATACAGTCCTCAACAATAGGTACTTGCAGACATAACGCTTTGTTGCCATGCTCTGGAAGTGGAGAGAGAGTTGATGGACAAACGCCAGGGATTTGTATTTGTACTGGCAGATAGGTCTCCTTATTTTGGACTTTTTCTCAGTGAGGAGGGAGACAGGGAAATGTTAAAAATAAGCCAACTTAGAGGGTTGTCTTCAAGAAGAAAGACCCTATAGGGGTTTTCTCCCAAAGGCTGTGCCCTTGGGTCTGAAATGCAAATAGAAATTTCTCTGCTTCCTTTGTCAAGTTTATCTAGTCTTGGGCCTCAAAGGTACCTCCTGCCTGAAAAAAACTCTCCATTACAGATCCAGAAAAGTAAATGGTGTCAGGGGGATTCCTTAATGAATGGATGAAAGCCTCTCAGTACCAAAGGAAATGAATTATTAGTGTTTCATTGGCCCAAAGATGTGTGTTTTAATGCCAATATCTTTAACACCCTTCACTCTGTCTCTGAAATACATATCCATTCTCATCTTGAGGAAGGGACTTTGCCTTAGCTATTCCTGAATTTTCTTAAGCAACAACTCTGTGGATCCGTACTTTGTAAGCTAAGAACCCTGTCTTTCCAAATGTGTCCCTAGAATACCTGTCTTCACCTTAATTGAAAAAAAAATAGGTCAAATTTATATCTGGGAAAACCTTCCAGTCTGAAAATTTGAAGCAATAGAAGTTGGATTTTGCAAGTTTGTTTTGGGTAAGCAGCAAGCATATTTCCCTTGGTTGGTTCAGCAACAACATTTCTGTCCCGTCATCTAGTTAGGGATGAATGGCAGATTGTGGTTTCCAAAACTGAGACTGCATATGCTGTACCCAAACTTGCTCAATTTGGGAAGCTCACAAGTAGGCTTGCCTTTGATTTTTTTCTTCCCCTGAGTTTCTCTTTTGGCCAAAGAGGAATTGCTTCTGTGCCACTCAAAATACTTGAACTTCACTGCAACCCAGAAAAGAGAAGTAGCTAGTGAAGGCTCTTCTTAGCAATTCATTGATATGCAGAGTGGGGGTTAGGGTAGAAGGAACAGGAAGGTCACAAACAGTTTGGGTGCCTTCTTTTTTTTTTTCTGGAAGAAAGAACTGATGTTATCTGTAAAGAGAAGCTCACAAGAGAGAAAGTTGATGGATTTTCTGATGTGCCTTAAGCTTCTCAGGTATGCTTGTTAAGGTGTGCTTTGATCAGTCTTCTTTTGATTACCAATAATCAAGACTTGCATGAAACTCAACTTGTGTCTTTTATATGTGCTATAATGTTAGAGATATACAATGTTCTTTGGAAGACATGGGGCAAAGGAGAGATAGCATGTGGAGAAAGTGCGGAATGAAAAAAATAATTTAGTAGTAAGACTGTCTTAGAGGTGATCAAAACCATTATGAGAAAATATATTTATCTAAGATTTTTTCTAGAAAGAACATCAGGAACAGGAATGGCTTAAAGTAAAACAACCAACTGAAATCTGGTAGGATAGCTAGTTGGCTGCCATGGGCCAGGCTCTGTGTTAGACTCTGGGGAAACCTCAAGGAACATAAAACACAGGGTCCCTGTCTTCTGGAGCTTCTAGTCTAGCAAAGGAGTTTGTCATGTGTAGTTTAAGTAACTGATATGCTGAAAAAGCACTACTCTTGACAGAACCAAAATACCACCTACATTTCCCCCTATTGTTCTTACAAACTTTCTTCACTGGGGCCAATGTCCTTGACTCCTGCATAAAAACCCTGGCAGCCCTCCCTCCCTCCCCTTCCCCCCTCTCCCAGCCTTCCTGTTTATTTTCAGGTGATACAAAAGATCCCTTGGACAATTTAAGTTACAGAAACAGTCTCATTTCAGTCCTTAAAATGTCTGGTTCCTGCAGTAGTCAGTCATTGACCTTGACCTAGGTACACCTCACCCTGTCTTCCCCTAGAGCCTGCCTGCCTGCAACCAGGCTGGGGAGTCCTGCTCTCTCACTTTTTCTGTCCCCTCCCCATTTCACTGTCGTGTGTGTGGGAGTGAGCAGGGCCATGCAGGGTCATGCAGGAAAGAGAGGTAAGAGCATCAGCCCTTTCTTATCTGGCTAGCTGGCAGCCCATTTTCTGCCCTGGAAAACACCCCTTTGAACCAACTCTCTTGATGGACTTTCTACAGCACTGAGTCTTTGGAAATTCGAAGCAGCAAAGCCCCTTATTCTTGGAGTTCCCTCGATTCCTGCTATGGGGAGGGAGGGACATGCATCTCACTTTCTTCAAGTTGTCCCTGGATAGCCCCTTCCTCAGCCCTGGCTATCCTATGGTCCCCCTCCAGCCTCTTCCCGTCAGTCCGGGTCTCCTCATCCTTGGAAGGTCCTAAGAACTCCCCCTCATTCCCATACCCCATTCCCATTCCCATTTCCTCATTCCCATCCCCCTCTCCTCATTCCCATCCCCCTTAAACCTCCGCCCCAACTCAGCAGGTGCAGCCCTTGCTGCAAGCATCTGTGTGCTCCAAACTCTGCCCCCAAAACTGTTTGTCAGCATCTCTGACGTCCTGGACAGATTCTGGGACAGACCCCCCTGTGCATGGTCAGCTTGAGCCTTCCCGGACTGGCTCCTCTCCCCCAACTGCGGGGAACTTGCTCAGAAGCCTCCTCTCCACTTGGATGTGCGGTTAGAAGGTAATATCCCCCACCCGCAGCCTCCTGAATGGTGACAGGACTCCAGTATAGTGCTGAGGTCTCTCGCTAGCCTCCGCTTCATACCCTTTACTCTTTTTTTAATATTCTTGATCTTGCAGAACAAGTTCCTGGGTTACTTCCTCTGCACCTCTGCCTGGCCGTGAGCTTGGGAGTAAGTTTTACACTAAGATCTGAGTCTTTGTGCCTCAGTTGGACTGAGAAAGACTTTTGTAGGAAGATCCCTTACCTGTAGGTTCCAGGTAGTGTAATAGCACTTCTCCAGAATGATTTCACTTACTCCTCACACCTAATGAAATAGGCACAATCACCATGATCAGAAAACAAAAAGAAACTGAATTGCAGGTGGTTTAAATAACTTGCCTAAATGAGTTGTCAAAGCAACTCAGTAATGAGGTCAAGCCTCAAACTCAGGTTAGGGGAGCTGATTCTATATTTGTAACCTCGATGTCAGGATCAGGAAGCCTTGGGGAAGACGGCAGCCCCCTGACAGAAATTTGGGACAAACAAGCAAAGAAACTTGGGGCGAGAAAGGACACCCCCCCACCCCCCCACACTTTATTTACTCCCACCCCTCTGTGTGGCCGGCACCCACGGTGCACAACAGACCCTTGTAGGGAAGCAGCGGGGGCCGTGCCACGCGGCGCCGGCCCCGCAGCCAGCACCGGCCGCTGGAGATGTGACTGAAGCTCGGGACATGAGCCCGCTTGTTCGCTCGCTCTCAGTGAAAAGAGTTTTGAAATGAGTTCTGAATAGACAGCATTTTCTTTGTGCGGTTGGTAAATAACACAGAGCAAAGTTAGCAAGTTGCAGCGCTTCTGCATTCTGATTCTATGGAACCTTTTTGTAGGGAGAAGGGCAGGATGTTTTTAACAGAATGTGACCTCACTGGAATACTAGAGGTAAGGAGAAAAAAATTATTGAGATAACTGTGAATATTTTACATCTTGGAAAACATAGCATCTAATAAAGCTACATGGAGAGAGAAGATTTCTACATGCTACACAAAAACCAATGCCTCCTAGAGCTTTGGAAGGTGCTATTCACATTGGCTTGGCATTTGTTTAGATTTGATTAGAAATCAGTGATTTTCTTATGATAATTTTCATGTGCACATTTTCTTTTTCTCCTTTAGAAAGCAATAACATTTCTGAATGAGGCAGTGTGGAGAAATCCTAAGAGAAATAGCATAAGAGCATTTTGGAATATATCCCGGAAAAGATAACTTTCTACACATCTGTAGAGATTCACCAGGTTAAGGTAAGAAAAAAAAATATTGTAAAAAAGTAGATTCAGGTTATTTCATTACGTCACACTGGGTTGAACTTTGGGAGAAAAACACGAACCACTGAGGCAGGATGGATGGGGTGGGGGTTAGGAGGGCCCACCTTTTGCCCCTCCCTCTTTCAGGCATGGGCATGGTAGCCCTGGGTCCACTGTGACAATGGGTGGTCACCAGGGGTTGTTTCTAATGCCCTCTGAAGAGCCGTGGGGAACGTGTGCGGGGGGCAGGGGGAGGACAGATTATTGCATTTGACAGGCACTTACGCTAAAACGTCAATGTGTTTCATAGAGCAAATGTTACTTGTACAGTATGGAATTTCTTTTAGGTTTATATTTGCACTGGGACTGACTCATTTTCTATTTAGGATTCTTAAAAAAATCACTTTTATGGTGCTCAGATGAGAAGTACATCTGTTGCTTACATATAATAAGCATCAAATACGAAGACATGTTGAATGCTGGAGCCGTTTGTTTGTCGCTATAGGAGACCTGCAACATATGTATGCTGTATGTCTCTTTACTGGAAGACAGGCGCTGAGGACACAAACTTTATGGTGCTTCCTTTGAGCATTAAGATTGTTTTAAATCTCCAGCTACGTTAGGTCACTAAAAATGAACATCATTTAGAACTCCCGAGTGGGTACTTTCAATGAAGTTCAGTGGGACAAAGATTGCATTGGTCACTATGTAGTATTTGGGATTCTGGATGAGTTTTTGCAGCAAAGCATAGCTAATTTATTTGTTGGTAGGTTATAGACACATACCATTAGCACTGTAACAAGACTGTCTTTCCAGCAGGCACAGAAATCAATCTGTTAGTTCTCAGGACTGTGGCAGTTTTATGTTCATGATTGTGTATAAAATTAAGCAGTTACAACTGAGTAGAAGTTACGTTGGAGTAAGCATTGCAATGGAGGGAGAGCTTCTGATTTTCTAACAGTTGGTGGGATGCATTTGGTTGCACACAACTTGGAGCCTTGATCTGTCTCACTATTTCAGATAAATTGCTGTCAAATTAACTAGCATGGTTCCTTTTAGATCAACTTTGAATGAGTAATGCAAAAGAAGTGATTCTTCTCCTATAATATAGCCATGTTAAGGTAGCTGCTTTTTAACATTGTACCATTCCTTCTAAAGTCATCCCAGATTAAATAAACTCAAAGTAACATATTGTTTTCCTTACTTTATTGCTAAACTTTTTAGGTGAAATAGTGTCATTAATTTGTGATTATATGAGTTATTCTCGGGGAAAAGCTTCATCGCCAGCATGAAATAAAAATTAAATCGAGATTCTGAACTTAAAAAAAGTTTTACCGTAATTATTTATTTAAACATTTTAAATTAAAGTACAGCTATGTCCATCACTGTGTAAGAAATAGAGCCCCTTGAACAATGAATTTATGAAATTGGGTAGCGATGTGGGCTGGTAGAAGCTACAGCTTTGCTGGATTGTTTCCTGAAACCATTTATAGGAAATCACCAGCAGAGGGCAGCGCAGAGCAATGAACTCAGAGGCATTTCCAAATATCTAAAAATCTAAAGTGAAAAAAATCTGCATACAAGTAGTACTTTTGGGACAGAGCCTCCCACCCAAATCATAGACCTCTAAACTAATTTTTAAAAAGCCTCAAACATGTGAATCCCTAAATAAGTTTCTCATCATGAAAGTGTTGGTGTGTGAGGAAAAAATTTGATTTCCTTGTGGACCTCCGAGGCACTTTGCTTTTCCTTTTGATTTCCTTTTGATTAAACAGGAACCTTTTACAGACCACAGAATCAATGATTCCAATTTCTCCCTCCCTCTCCGCTCTCTGGAGTTTGCACTTTGATTTTCCTTTTGATTTATTTTATCACAAAAAGACTATGTGAATGCAAATACCAGCCATGTGCGCAAATTTTCATTATAAGGCTTTTCAGGGTGATTTTCTGTTGAAAAATATTGGAAAAATTATAAATTTAGATTCATGCAGCAACCCTTACCAAACTCAGCATTTGAAGCAAAATACAACTTAGAAAGATTCCCATTCAATCCACATTTCCTCATTGCAAAATAATAGCACACTGTGTAAAAAACAAACATGTTATGTCAGTAGCCTATAAAAAACAAACAAGCAAAAAAACCTAATAGCACATCGTTCTGTTTGTTAAATTTTTTCCCCTTAAACTTACTACAGCAAACATTTTACATTTTATAAAAAAAACCCCAATGTGCTACTCAGTATTTGACATACATTTTACACTGGAAATCTGGGCAGGGGGAGGGAGGGAAGACATATTAGACTGGAACAGAGTCCAAAGAACTTAGAGGGACAATTTTATGAAAATGTGTTATATTTTGTTACAAGGCTGTTATAAAAACCTAGTTTAATTGTCTATGCATAAATGTTTAGGGACTCTAAATGTCTTTATGCTGAATCCTGTAATTTGAAAGTTAGCATTTAAGATTATTATTCTTATAGGCTAATTAAGATTATAAAACACTTTCCTCTTTTCAAAAGTTCATGAGCACATAACAAATTGGAACTACTTTTGCAAGCCAAGTGTCCCTCTTATGCTATTAGCTTTCTTGGATTTACCTTCTAAATGACTTTGGCTCAAATTGACTTCAGATATTTGACATATCAAGTATTGTTGTCTTCAAAGGTTTCCCAGGCAACTGCAACAATTCATCTGGTTCCAGTCAAAAGTGCCCTTGAACTCTCAGCTCATTTCACTTCCCAGTATGAGTAATGTGTATAGCAAAAGGAAGAACACCAAAGACTTCATGTAATAGGCTAATGTGAATGGTTTGGTGAAGAGATGGATGGATTTCACAAAAATACCCACTTGGATGTTAAGAGTTGGCTGCCGGCAGGTTGGCTTTGTCAAGCTTTCATATTAATTTTGGGTGGAAGATCATATCAACATCCTGTGTTCTGGGTTCTGCTTCACTCCTCCTCACAGTTCCTGGGCAGACACCTGAAGGTAGAGCCCCAAACTCTTACCCTAAGTCACCCCAACAACTTCTTCAAGTACAGATTACTGGTCCACCAGGGAACTACCAGCTCTGAATCTGTCAGTGGTGTCTTGGGATCCCAGCTGACCCATGCACACTGACCTTAGAGGGTCTCTGTGTTAGATCGAGTTTCACTTTAACCCAACCTGAAGCCATGAGTAGAGGGTCTTTTTTTTAATATATATATTTTAAGATTTTATTTATTTACTTTACTTTTTAGAGGGTCTTGTCCCACTTTGCTTAGAGGGAGGGTTTTATAATTACCACCTGAATTGTTCCAGAGAGCAGAGAGGGAGGGAGAAATTGGAATCATTGATTCTGTGGTCTGTAAAAGGTTCCTGTTTAATGTTGATTACATTCTGTGTTTTATTTAAAATAGAACATTTCACCTCCTCTAAAGCTTTTCAGGGTGACAAGTAGACAGAACAGTTAGAATGTCATTTTTTTTCTTTACCTTGGCTCTTGTTTTCATACCTGATTGACTACTGACGGGATCAATTGACAAATAAGGCAATATAATATATAGTCTGCAAACCCCACTGGTGGAACTATTTAAGTCAGAGCAGATTGCTCTCTAAGTACTGGGCTTCTGCAGAGGTCTCCCTGTTGGCTCCACATTGAACTCAAAGTCTAGAGAGCCTCAACAATCATCTGTCATCTATATCTGGGCATAAAAGCAGAGCTGGCCACCCTTTTCCCCATCCCCACCATTCCTTTTTTCCAGTATTGTTATATTTTATTCTGTTCCATACACTCATTGGGACATGAACATCCCATTGAAATGTGTCCAAGTAAGCAGATTTTTAAAAATTTTTTGTTTGGAGTCTGTAAGTAATTTTAGTAAGGATTATATATATGAAAGTATGTAAATATATATGCATATGAAACTATATATGTATATATGTGTCTATATTATATGTATATATATGTGTGTGTAAATATGTAAAGTCACTTTAGCTACCAGCCCTTCTACCAGCTACAGTTACCACTGTGATTATCACTTCGATTAATCCTTGGTTTGTTAAAATTAATGTAGATAAATGTAATTTTATAGTAGGAAATGTAGTTTTCAGGGTGTGAAATAATGGTGATCAATTTGAATAAATATTTGCTATTTGTTTTCATAAAAGTTTAAATCCGGAAAAGAGAACTCTGACCAAAAGAGGAATATAACAGGATCAATGAAACAGGTAGCATTGAGTCATATCACTGGCTTTTAATTAAAAAGGATGCTGTGGATGTTGGCATGGACTGGACTGAACATAGGTTGTTTTAGAATTTCTGAAGCTGAAATCTAGCTGGAGAGCTCCTAATCAGAAGGAACTTATTTTGATAATTTAAACTGCAACCTAAGTTGCAGTTTAAAAAATTCAAAGAGGTCTATAAATCCTTAGACGGGGGGCAGTTGTTTGTGAGCCAAAGGATTTTTGTGCAAAGCTAATATGTATAATAGCGAATCAGTCTCTCACTGGACAGTTTTGTCATATTTCAATAACTGAATGAATATTCTGAATTAATAAGCAGAACGTTTGTATAAACTAAAGGCTAGTCTAAGCTCTGCATTCATTGATGGGAACCTTAAGCAAATGTTTCTTTTATCAGCTTGTTCAAAAGGCATAAACAATGTTGTGGTTTTGAAGCAGTAATATATCAACTAGTAAAATAGTAACTGGGTCTGGAACAGGTAAGATAAAGTTATAGGTTACATGTTGTTTTCAGTACTTGGAAGATCCTGAAGAAACCTTTTTTTTTTTTTTAAATATGTACACACTTATACTTTGTATCTTATAGAAAAGAGTCTAGGCATTTAAGCGTATCAGTAAGATTTCTTGAGCTTTGCTTTGCTTTTAACTTTGATTAAAAATTAAACATAAGTTGGTATTCATTATGTCAATGGAAAATAGAGAAAAGTGGTATAAATATCAAAGGATGAGTAGAAGTTCTCAAAATGTGGGACAATGAGGGGAAAATGGAGCTGGCT